CAGCCCACTCCCCACCCAAGGCCGGTGCTGCCTCGTCAGCAGCACATTTATTCCTATACTGGTCCAGGCAAACAGCAAATTACTCCAAAGACTCACATGCTTTTAGGCAAGAGCTTCTTTTATACAAACTTTTAAGAGTATGAAGCCTAGAAAAGAAGTTCTAGCAAAGAGCACCTACGGGAGGATACAGTTTAATCGCAAACAGGTAAGGGTTATTTTGTTTGTTTTTTTCAATGCAGAGAACTACATATTTTATTTTTGCATGTCTAATACTACATATTTATATGTACAATACTACATATTTTTAAATGCAGAGAACTTTTTAGAAGCAGAGAACTACGTCTTTTAGCCAGTTGTGTACATGTTGAGTACTGGAGTAACATCACTGCTAACATTAGGTATTTAAATCCTCAGAAATACCCGTCCAGACCCGACAAACCAGGCAAGGGACGATGCTCCAAGCCAGGGGCTCTGGACGGCTCTCCTTACCGAGCTGCCAAGCAGAGCGCTGGACCCTATCCCCAGTGCAAAACCATGAACTTCAGTGTCCAGGGACTAACCTGCTTTAATTATACACGTTACCTGACATTCTAATAGGAATCAGAATTCACTGCTTACAGCTGAAGTCACAAACACATCACTAAAATCATCCAGACCTGCAGTTCTTACTGCGCCTGTTCTTCATCCACCCCAGCAAACTCCAGGCAGCTCCAACCTTCACCTCTGTTTCTGACCCAAACCACTCTATGATTCTATGATTCTCCCCACTGGTGTCTTCCCTTTCGCACCCCAGTGCAGTTCTCCCCTTGCAGGAACTCCCTTCGGGCTGCTACTTTCCTTTCGTCGTTAGCCTCCCACATACTCAAGGTCATAATCAGACCTCTCAGGTACTGAGAGCAGGTCCCATGCCCATACCAGCTCATCTGAGTGTGTCAAACTTGCCTGTTCCCTAACTTAGGGGAAAAAAAAGATGAAAAAATAAAGAGGAAAAAAGAAAAAATAATAAAAAAAGAGAGATCACAAACCAGAGCTCACTATCCTCTCATTGCCCCAGTCACACACATCTCCACTGCTGTTCTAAACTCTGAAATTCAACTCGACCCTGCATATTTTGGAGCCCCGGACATGCCCTGTGCTTGTAGATCTACTTGCGAAATCCACTGAAATCCATCATTTTCACTTAGCTGTGGTAAATACCTTTCCCAGTCCAAATTCTCTGCTAATTTCTGTGCCATCTGTCCCCGGATATGACAGCGTGGATCTACCGCTCCTTGTCCGCAGCACAAACCACGCCGTCCGGGCTCCTCGGGGCAGCCTCCCCGCCCCCAGCCGCCCACTCCCCACCCAAGGCCACTGCTGCCCCGTT